CCTTGTGTTGACCTACATTAGCTGCTCAAATTAGACTGTTTTTAATTAAACACAAATTAAAGAATTACAAATTAGATATTCAAATTTAAACTCATACAGATTCTATTTTTAAATTAATTAAATACAAACTATTTTTAGCTAAACTTCATATAACACAAATATATCACGTCATACCTGTAATATAATTCAATTATCATATTACATCTGTGTTATATTTCTACTAATCACATCCCATAATTATCACTCTATAATATATTTTATTTATCATATTCTCTTATCTGTTATATTTTATATTTTTTATAATTGCTATCCAATTTTCTAACTTTTATTTCCTTATTTGTCATACCTCTAAAAAAAACTATTTTCATTGTTAAGATTAAAATACTTTTCTATTAACAATACTGACTCTTACAAATACAGAACCAGATTTCTATAACATTGACTATTTCTGTAGTAAATACAAGGACCATTATAGTATTGATATGTTTGAGCTTAAAAAGAAAACCTTATGTATTCTTCTTATAGAAGTTCAACTAACAACTTGTGAAGTTAATAATTTAAAATAACAATACTATTTCAAAGTACCAAATTGCTACTTGTCTTTGCAATAAATATCATATTAGCTTTATTTCACATTATTACAAAATCTCTTATTCATCTTCTACTTCTCAGATTCCTATAGATATCTTATTAAATATCTTAACAAAACAATTTAATAGAATTACTGAGGAATTATTTTCTTTATCTATTCTAAAAAATAAGATTTTCCAAATTCCAAAATTCTCTTCTCACTCTTCCAAACTAATCCTACTCCAACAGAAATTACTCCATACTCTCAATATAATTATACTTGCATTTTATGCAAAAACAAAAATATTCCTTATGTATTTCTTCAAGATGCTAAGCATACATCAGACTATATACAAATAGCTTTATTTAAGAATAAACTAATTTATAGAGCTTGTACTCAGTACCTACAAAATATCAAAATTAAACTCTCAAATCAAACTCAACTACTTATCTAATCCTAACGTACCATCTCTCATCTATTAAAATAATCTTATTACAAAAAGAATCAAAAAAAATTTTTTTTAAATGTTTCTTAATTAAACTTGCAAAAAAACTTAAAAATCAATAACAGGACGAAACAAACAAAAATACAAACAAATTAAAAAATCAAGAAAATTTTTTAAACTCAAAAACTTTAAAAGAATCTAAACCTAAACCAACCTTTAACTAGCTTACAAATTTTCTGATAACTGAAGAATTGAAAGCAAATACAAAATTCTAAACCAAACTATCTTTCAAATTTTTAACTTCATAAAATCAAATCTAACCAATTTCTCTTCTGAAAAATTATCATTTAAATATTTTTTTGTTCAATAGCTAGTCAACAACTAAAATTTCTTACAGATCTAATTTACAAAACAAACTTACAAATCAACTTAATTACTACTATTCACTTTGATCTCTTAAATCTACTCTTAAAAACCTTATAAAAAAATTTATAACTATCCTGTTAACTAAACTTAACTATGAAGAAATTTTTGCTTTACTAGTTACTATTTCTCTACATAAAATAGAAAACTATTTACCAATTTGCTTTAATATAGCAAGACTTCATCTCTACATAACAAATAATTATCAATCAATAGATTATAGTATTCAAAAACTTTAATCAAGTTAGATATGTATAAGTCTGTATCATAGTAAGGATTATTATATATTATAGTTACACTAACTTGGTTAGGTAGCTAACTAGATTAGAAGGATCTAACTTGTAATAGACCTTAGTAAAATCTATAAACGATACTAGTAGAGAGCTACAGTAGAAATTAGGATTATACAAATATCTACAAGGGTCTAAACTAGATGAGTTCATGAAATAGATATGAGTCACTCTAGTAAGTATGCTTTGAGATTAACTGGCTCTGCAGATATTCATAATATATTGAGTATAATGCAATCTGAGAGGACCTAAGCTGAAGTCAATAAATAGATCTGTAATAAGCTAACTGATATAAGTAGTTAGATATTATAGTGATGTTAGTTTGTAACAGTATGAGTTAGTTGAACAGAGTATTTAAATAGATAGCTCACAAGCAAGTTACAGATAAGTATAGTACTAACAGGTAGTCTAATGTCTACATAGCGGACTACTTAAATTAGATAATGACTAAAATTATACATGTGGCTTGTTGTATACTCTTCATGTAATTACAAACTATAAAGGAAACCTATATGTAATCTCATATATCAAACTAATAAAATTCATTTAGCAATATAAGCCATCTTAATATCAAAAAAAAAACAAAAAACAAAAAAAATAGAAAGTATATTTTGGTAATAAAAATTTTACTATTACCTTTAATAATAACAAAATAATAAAACCAAACTTAGTATATGTTGCTGGAGTTGATGATATTATTTCTAATGCTAATAAAGTTTTTGGTAGCTTTACTAATGCTAAAAATAAAGTACCACAAAACTAAATCTACAATGCGTGCTAAATTATTTTTTCTACATATAAAATACTCTAATAAAACATATTAGTAATAAGCAAAATTTATTTAAGAATTAAGTAAACTTGTGCAAACTATTCAAAGTTCACACAAGTTTTTATTGTTACTTTTATTATTATATATTTAAAGGTTGTACATAATCTAAAAAAACATTGTTCATAAAAAAAGGTAATTTTTCTCAGTATAAATAGATTACACGTGAAAACTACAAATAAATGGCATACTAAATTTAAGTATTAAACTTTAAATGCACATCAAACTCCACATTACACAATCATCTGAATACATATATGAATAAATAAATAAATAAATAAATGTATTATTAAATTATTTTCGATTAGCCGCTGCTGCTTTTTGTACTTGTTCTAATGCTGCAATCATATCCTCATATTCATCTAGATTTGATGATGCTCTACTTTCATTATCTGTTCCATTTGGGAATCTATTCCAATTACGATTAATATAATCATCTGCCTCAGGACCTTCATCATTCATATTTCCCCATCGAGAATTCAAGGCATCAAGTTCATCATCAAGTTTATCTGTCATAGAATCAATTATATTTGAATTTCTTGGACTCGTTGATTTGATATCAACCTCAATATCACGATAACTGTCCACTGCAGTTTCCATTTGATCAAGCAATAATGAAATTTTATTCTCAGATTCTTGTAATTTTTGTTCAAAATCTACATTTTCTCTCTCAAGTTTTTTATTTGTTTCATGCAGTTGTGCAATTTGCCTTTCAAGTACTCCACGCTGTTCATCCCATTTCTCATGTTGCTTAATTTTAATATTATTTGGAATATTATCATTTATTTTATTCAAATCATCGGCAAGTTGCTGATTTAAATGTTCATTTTCTTTTTTAAGTTGATCTACTTTATTTGTAGAAACTGCAAGTTGTTCTTTAAGTGACTGGTTCGTTTGCCTTAAAGTGTTTTGATCTTTTTGCATTGTTTTAAATTCTTTACGTAAAGCTTCATATGAAATGTCCACCATTTTTTTCTCTTCCCGTGCACGATCAATTTGTACAATCAAATCTTTCATTTTTTGTTGCACTTCAGTCATTTCTTGGCCATATTCTTCCTGGAGTTTTGAATCTTGAACACCTTTACGAACTGAAACTTGATTTTTAACTTCGGAAAGTTTTTCTTCCAATTCTTCATTTCGTTCCTGAGCAACTGTCAATTGTTTTTCTAACTTCAATGAATCGACTTTACTTTTTTGTAATTCATCTTTTAGTCGTCTTAACATTTTTTCTGTCCCTTGCACATAATGCATTGCAGTATTATAATCGGATTCTACTTTCGCCAGTTTATCCTGTGCTAGTTGAAGCTTTTGTTGAATTTCCTTTAGCTCCTCTTCAGAGCGCCTGGAATATGATGAATCTTGGTTGAGACCTTGGTTGAGACCTTGTTTGTTAATACGTTTAAGTTCTTCTTCTAAAAGTCTATTCTTTTCTTCTTCATGTTGTGCTTTTTGTTCTAATTCTTCACATCGCGCTACCATCTCCTTATATTGTGAAGCTAATGTTCCTTGATTTGTATTATCCTCTAATATGCCTCTCTCAACCATTACATCTCGCATCATTCCAACTTTAATTTCAGCATCTTCAAGAGCACAAGTTCTTTCATCTAATGTGCGTTCTTTTTCACGCAATCTTCCTTTTGTCCGTATTACTTCGTCTGAAGATTCTGCTAACCGCCGTTGTAACATCGCAGTTTCAGAACGTGCTTTAGTAAGTGCTGATTCCAATTGTACAATTTTATCCATAGCTGTTGCAAGTGATTTTGAAGCTTTATCTGCTGAATCTTTTGTTTCCGCATTCATATTTTTTAATTAACAATTTGATATTTCAATAGGTTTGGCGGAAACGACGCGCATAGATGTTTTAATGATATGTGGTGTTTTGATCCACGTTCTAATGCATGGTCAGAGTTATCTTGTATCGGTTTCATTCCTTCCGCACGAAAGTTTCATGGTGCTGCCATCGTGGATGATGTTATGTATGTATTTGGCGGTATGACACAAGATGGTCAAGAATTAGGAGATTTGACAGCTTTTAGGATAAGTAGTAAGTAAGAAAATATCATAGTTAATAATAAATATAATTGGTTTGATTTTA